ATTTCATTCGTATTGTCCTGTAAAATGGAGTGTAGATCGATTGTCAAGTCACAAGAGAGTCTAAATATTTCTTAAGCTCTGCTGTTCTGTTAAAGAGTGTTTCACTGTCAGAGGAGTCCCACAGGTTTGGCATGTTGGCGAAGAATCACGGGCCATCGGGTTTCCTTCCTCATGTCTTAAACGCCAATCTTCTATACAATGAGATCACATCTGCATATTGTCAAAATGACATGTGTGGATAGAAGTATAAAGAGAGAAGAAAAATTATAAGAATAGTAAAAAATTAAAATTAATTTTGTTATCTAAAAATATTTACGTAATTAAATATTAACTATAAAAGATTGCCAAAGATATATATGTTATTGAGAGTAGAAAGGAGAAGGAAAAAAAGAAGATCAAAAATAAAATAGAAAGATGCGACGGAAGATAGACTGTTTGGGCATGGCATCAGAGAATAAGAAGCTTTAGATAAAGAAGGATGGAAAAATATCTTAAAGAATATTTAGGTCAAAGATAACCACAGTAGTGGAAAAGTATTAATTAAAAAAAATATTTACTAGCACTATTTGAATAGAACTTTAGTTAATTAAAAATATTGTTTTTTTTTTGTTTTTTTATAATACTTCAGAATATACTAATATATCCTTATTCAATTTCTGACTGCTTACCATAAAAATCTACCATATCCATAGAAAATGGAGGTAACAATAAAACAGCTGATGAAGCAAAAAAAAATGTTCGAACAGCTGATCAACTAATTCAGTTTATGGTTGATTCTCCTTTTAGGGGCAAGTTTTACTCCATTACAATTTTTACGAGATTAGTTGTCTTTTTTTTTTTTCATTTCTTAATGATATTTACAACTGTATTATATAAATACATCTAGTAAATTTGAACATATGGATATAATGACATGAAAACACTTGTTGAGAAACTACTCAATGGTAGCACTGTAATGATATTTCTACATTAGGATATCACGAGGCCATCTTCGTTTCAGGCGCCTTGGAGGGTTGTCAGGAATTGAAGAGGAAGCAAGGTTAGAAACGAGAGGATTGGGATGAATCTGAAGTTTATTAAGGAAGGATAGGTATCTGGATTGGGCCAGATCTGAAACAAAAGGAACATTAAGGTCATTATGGATGGTTTTATTTGTAACAAAGTAGGGAGCATTGTGAATTTTACGAAGGATTTTGGATTGTAAGGATTGGATGCGAGAGGAATTCGATGGTTTAGTAGAGCCCCCAAAAGCTCGACCCCATAAGTCCAAATATGCCTTATTATAGTAATATATATGAATCGTTTGTAAATTCACCTTTCCCCTTTGATTTGTGACCATTACATTTTTTACTGTTAATTCATCATTTTATTAAATTCATTACAAATTTAACTTCATATTTGTCTTAAAAAGGTTGTTGAAATTTTTCTTTTTAATTTTGAAATTTACAACTGTATTAAATGATAAATACAAGTGAATATGAAAAAATAACATGACATGTACCACATGAAGAGAAACTGCCCATTAGTAGCACTCCAATTATATTTCTATATTAGAAGGTCCCAAAGCCATCTTCTTTTCAGACTCCTCGGAGGATTATCAGGAATAGAAGAGAAAGCCATGTTGGAAACAAGAGGGTTCAGAAGTTTATTATGGAAGGATAGGTATCTGGATTGAGCTAAATTGGAAACATATGGTACATTAAGGTCGTTATGGATGATTTTATTTCTGACATAGTAGGGAGCATTGAGGATTTTACGAAGGATTTTGGATTGTAAGGAATGGATACGAGAGGAATTCGATGGTTAGTGGAGCCCCAAAGCTCAACTCCGTAAGTTCAAATAGACCTTATTATAGTCATGTATATGAGTCTTTTGTAATTAATTGGAAGTTTAGAGCGTTTGTCTACTAAGTGTTAAAGTAATCGGAAACGTCGAGCGGTTTCTTGTCGTTTCAGTCTGGTATAGTTAAATCTAACTTGATTTTCTCCACCGCTATACGGTGAGGAAGTATTTCTTCATAATGCAATATTAAAAATTAAAATACTAAAGAATAGTGTGATTTTATAATTATTTAAGCTACTAAAATGTATTGTCCCACTCTCAGTTTTATAGTAAACAATTTTTTTTTCTTTCGAAATATATGCAAAATTACAGTGGAATTTATTTCCATTCCTGAAGAATAATTAAGACATATTCAATTATATATATTTTTTAACTTTTGTTAACAGTGAAGTATGTTTATGTTTTTTTAAACACATCACTTTGATGTCATTGACAAGTTGGTCACACATCTATATCTTATACGTTGAGCTCGTACCTTTATTGTTGTCATTACCACCGCCTATATTATCTCGCTACCTGTTCAAATTATTTCATATATGATAATTCACGTTTGACTACGGTTTGTAGCAAGTCAGTTGGAAAAAAACAAAATTATAATACTAGTTGCACAGCGGTTTTGGCGGAATAAAATACATGAAAATGTCATTACCAATTTAGAAAATTGTTTCATTTCCAAAACGGAATTATTAGCTTTACTTACATTAATTACTGAACAAAAACCACTTTTGATCTTGGCCATTTGCTCAGATAAAGCTTAATTTAATTAAGGCAATAGAAGGTGTAGTTATTTTGAAAATTGTATTTAAAAGCAGTCAAAATTATAATAATTTTATCATGAAAATTACCCATAATCTGAGAATCATCCTTATAAATAAATTTCAGCGAAACTCTTTTTTTTTATCTTTAATTCATATCAAAATAATAACGAAAATTCTTCCAATATTTATATACTCCATCTTTGATTAAGACCAGAGATGAAAATTTAGATAAAATATATGAAATAAAGAGATATCTCTGTCATATGAATATTAAACGTATATTGAGAGATTGACGGGATAAGAAATATGAGAAAAAGGAAAATAGACTGAGGGAGCGGCCATCGCCTTCCGGTTCAAATGAGAATTTATGACTCATCTCCACTTTTCATTTCCGTTTCAGATTATGAATTTCATTCTTTCGGATTTTAATTGAAAGGAATGCAAACGGAGATTAGAGAACTTAACAATAACGTTATCATTTTTTTTTCCGAACAAAACCCACATACTCCCATAAATCTTATTTTATTAAGAAATCTCTTTAATTAGAAGTTTTATTCCATCCTTATATCATATCAAGTTTTGGATATGTATTGCCATTTTCAATAAATCTGCATATCTTTCGTTTCTTCTTCTCCACACCATTTCACGCCCGTCTGGAGATTGAAGAGCGAATCTGGACTCATCTGTAAAAAGTACTGCACTCCATTCGTCCATAGTCCAATGGCTGTGTTCTCGAGCAAAAGCCAGCCATGTTACTCTGTAAGTTCTGGTCAACTCTGGTCCTATTACTGAACGAAAAGCCATTAATCCATACTCATTTAATCTTCTCCGAGCGGTACGTTCAGAAATTTGCACACCTCCAACTTCTTCGAGCTGATGAATCGCTTGAACAACGGGCAAGGTGCCGGTTTCGTAAAATTCTCAAAGTCTAAAACCGGCCATCCCGTGGTTCTGTTACCCTAGGCCGTCCAGAACCGGGCCTCCTATTGTAAGAACCAGTTTCCCGAAAACGCCTGATGGCGTCTCGTAAAGTTTCATACGGAACTCCGATGGCATTAGCTGCATATCTAATGGAACGTCCATCATCAATAAGTGCCACACCACGCGCAACTTCCTCACCACCAAGAGGCATTTTAAAACTTAATATTGAAAAAATTAAAAGCCGGAGACTAAGAAATGTGCTGCAAGAAACGGCACTGAACTAATGATACTGAATAAACATTTTGATTCCATAGAAAGTAAACATTGGAATCTAGAATCATTTCATTGAATTAAGGATTAAGGGTTATTGTCCTCTATATTAACATTTCCTAATTGAAAACAAACAAAAATATTGCCTCTTTATTCATTAAAACCAATAGACCAATCCAAAGCAGAAATATTTTTAGATGAAAACATGAAAAAATCAAGTGGGTGGAATTTTTTGCCTGTCAGTCTATATGTACAAGTTTCTAAAATGCGCTGAGCTCATCGATAACATCGGAAATCCATCAGACCATCTATAAACTCATCGTTGGAAACTGTCGATTGTTTTTTTTTTTATTCATCGATTGAATCACCGAAGACCCAGCCATTCCATCTGGTTCTGGTAGATTGATGTGCTTGTTGCAACCTCATTATAATCTCAGTTTTACTATTGCTCAATTATTTTACATATTTGTATTCAGTTTACTCTCTGTTTATATGTATTTCTGTTTTGAAACTCAATAATTTATTTGGTAGCTCTTTCCATTTTTTTTTCATATATTTTGTAACCTTCCAGGAGTTAACCTTCTGATTGCCGGAGACTAAGAAATGTGCTGCAAGAAACGGCACTGAAATAATGATACTGAATAAACATTTTGATTCCATAGAAAGTAAACATTGGAATCTAGAATCATTTCGTTGAATTAAGGATTAAGGGTTATTGTCCTCTATATTAACATTCCTAATTGAAAACAAACAAAAAGATTACCTATTTATTCATTAAAAACAATAGAGCAATCCAAAGCAGAAATATTTTTAGATGAAAACATAAAAAAATCAAATGGGTGGAATTTTTTGCCTGTCAGTGTATATACATACATACATATATTAATAAGAAATACAAATATTATAATAATATAGTAATTTAATAATAAGAAATATAAATAACAACACTTTAAATAACAAGATAACTGCAGACAGCAGTCCATAAAGCCCGCGTCCCTCACAAGTACCCTATAATTATAGTAGGTTACTTATGCATATCTTTTATATTAATTCTAAGGTTACATCACTCTGTTAATTCATAACTTCTTGTCACACTTTAAGCCAGACAAATGGCACTTGGCTTGTTCATTATTATTATTGTTTGGGGACTAAATGTCCCAGTATAAAATATATTTTTCGTCTTCTTCGTATATAATAATATTAATTTTGTATACTAGAGACATATGAAACATAATATTCCCGGATAAATGACATTTAATCAATTATCAACCAGAGGAAGGGGCGTCCTCTTCTGGGACAGTGATAGAAGATTCTGGCCCCGTACTGTCCCGGTCCCTCACTCGTATCCTCAGCTGTAACACACATATTTACATACTTATTAATATGTAATCTACGTATTACTATCTTACTAATTGACAAAGTTATCTACATAAACATATTTATAATCTACCTAACGAGAGTTCACTCAAATCACATTTCTTCAATTCTAACATTAAAGAGACGATCTCGAGTGCTATTATTATTTCTCTACTCAAAGATGGCGGCTGGTTTCAAGATTACCCAGATCATGCTATTCCTGGAGTCCCGATGAATGCCGAAAGTACCCGAATATTGACATCATGTTTCCATCTGCCATGGCTGCCTTGATTTAGAGTTCTTTACATTAAGTTAGGTTATATTCCCGTTTTTATTAAGTTAGTATTTTGCTAGTTCTGCCAGACCCCGCGCCGACTGCTTGCGGTTGAGCACGTTTTGGTGGAATGCAAAAGAACATGTTTCGTTGAGTTACGGAATGGACTTAATCCGTAACAAATAATAGTAATATTAATTTAACTTTTATTTTGTTAAATATGCCAATTGGTGAATCATGTATTGTATTGACACTTCTCAGAACTCAAAGGACAAAAGCCCAAAGCATCTCTAGATAGCCAGGTCAAGCTATCTCTGATAGCTTAGAAATAGTTATCTAGAATGTACCGACTGGACAGAAGACCCATTATCAAGACGTAGGGAACAATAACTTCAGCAAAAGGGCACTTTCTCACAGACCTCATCTTAAGAATATTAACTATCGATAACTTCCTTTGCCGTCCTCTTCCGACTTCTCTTCACCCCCTTGGTATTCTTGGGTATATAAACCCCATGTTCCTCAGACCAAATACTCATGTAGTTGTACCCTTGAAGTCACACTCTTCACTGTAGAGACCTGGAGTGAACTCATGTAGTCAACCCATATATCCATATTATATTACTCTGTATGTTAGATGCCATTTGTAACAGACATTATGAATAAAAGTATTATTTATAAAGTTCTTCACTGCCTCCGATTCGTTAACCGTTGGAACCTTTCGGCAGTCTGATTTATTATTGATAACAACGGTAAAACATTGCTTTGATTTAATTACAAATGTATTATATTTATTACTGAAATGATCATAATAATAAGTAAAGTAATAAATTTAAAATAAGAGATACGTCCTCAATTATTAAAATAATATTTTTTCATCTTACTTTTATCACGAGGCTCATATTTTCTATTCAAAGTATTACAAGAAAAAATAACTTTCTATGACGTGGGCATTAATACGTTGATAATATTTTTGAAATAATAACTTCTTTAGGCGCTTTTTACACATGTTTTGTGTGGAGTGAATAAGGTTGAGCCGTCAGATCTCCAATGTGTAACGCTCGAGTTAAATAGGTTAGAGTCGACAAATTGAAGTTTTTTGCATATGGACAGGGGTATCGACCCCTCCCCCCTAGATAGATGGCACAATTAAGGAATACTATGACCATATTTTATTAAATAATTTAGTAAGTAACAAAGGAATTATAATAGCTCAAAATTATGGAAAATTGCCCCTCCCCCCAAGAACAAATACATAAATGTAACATGGTCCTTCACCTCCAGGGTACACATATTTCAAATTTACCAAAAAATGTATACTTTATTGGTAATGCCCCAAAATATTGTCCTTTTCATTATAATTTTTTCCTTAAATTTTATTGGAAATCAACTACATAGATGTTCAAAAGACAAAAAGTAGAAGATTATGGGACAGTTTCATCAAAATTGTTAGATCTGTTTAAGCACTACATCCACATTACCTATTCTGCAGGGAGGGCTAGCCGATATGATTCACATGAATTCGTGGCCAAAACCCTATATTTTAAAGCAAAACAAGAATAACGAGATAATCGTGTCACAAACAAACAGACCACTGGCTATAAATGTATTTTTTGAACTCAGAGGGCTCTGAAACGTAAAAATCACGTTGTAAACCGCACATAAAAAATTTGATCAGATAACAAATAGTTCCCTTCTCCTCTCCTCCCAAGATATTTTATTGCTCAACTTTTCTAAAAAACAAGAGCAAAGGAAAGTAGAATTAGAAAAATCGTATATTATATACAATTACACTGCAGCATGTTCCATGTTTTCCCCTTTTCACTTATTCTGAAACGTTTCATTATAAAATTTCATAACCACGTTGAAGTATGCCCCCTTCCCCTCAAAAATTCAAAAACCGTTCAAAATATGCTCTCACCCCAAAAAAAATTGTTGATAAAACCCCTTCTGGACAACCCTGCTAAAAAAATTGCATACTATACACGATATCCTCTCTGTAACGGCCTATTATTCAAAATTGTATCTTGAAGCGACGCAGTGTTAGTGAGGCGAAAAGGAAAATAATAATAACTTTCAACTTAATGACAGGTTGGAAAACTACGCTGAAAGTTGGAACTATCTGCAAAGGGAATCAAATTAAAATATTGAAAGGAATATACCAAGGAGATTGTCTAAGCCCCTTATGGTTCTGTATGGCTTTGTTCCCACTAAGCAGGATTCTTCGAAAGAACAAGATGGGATACAAATTAATCATCAACGACGAAGCCACCACAGTCAGCCACAGCTGGTACATGGATGACCTTAAACTATATGCGAAAAACAAAGACCAATTACAAAGTATGGTTGAAGCCGTTTCATCTTTTAGTAGTGATATAGACATGTCACTCGGTCTGGATAAATGTGCGGTGCTCCATGTAACCAAAGGAAAAGTGGTTAGTATGCAGAATATTCTAATCAATGAAAAAGAATACATCAGGGAGCTTGAAGACAATAGGTTATATAAATATCTCGGAATGCAGCAACATCTTAAAATTGCTAGAAAAGATATGCAACAAGACCTTCTGACAATGTTCAAAATTAGATTGCGGAAAGTGCTCAAAACCCAGCTAACCGGGAAACAAAAAATCAAGGCTATTAACACCTGGGCAATACCTGCTCTCGGTTATAGTTTCGGCATATTGCACTGGTCAAACACCAGCCTACAGGAGATCGACCGCCTTGTGCGAACAACTCTCACAAAAGAACGGGCCCACCATCCAATATCCTCCAAAGCTCGCCTGTATTTGCCTTGGAAAGAAGGAGGACGTGGTTTGCTAAATATCGAAGAAGCTTGCCGCAAGCAGGAAGCGGCCCTACGCCGATACTTTCTTACAAAAACAACTGAGGTTTACCTCGCAATCTCAAGATTGGATTAGGGTCTAACCGCACTTAGCCTGAGCAATCGTGAGGTCTCTACAATCGTGTCAGAAAACGAACGCTTGACAGAATGGAAAAATAAATCTCTGCATGGAAGATTCTACAGCAAATTAAATGATAGCTCGATTGACAAGGAAATATCCATTGAATGGTTGAAAGCTGGAAAGATATTCTCCGAGACAGAAGGATTTCTGCTCGCCATCCAAGACCAAGTTATTGCTACTAGATCATATAGAAGGCATGTTCTTAGAGACGCAACAAGTACAGATAAATGTCGATTATGCTCAGCGACGCTGGAATCAATCCAACATGTCACAGGTGGGTGTGGAGTGTTGGCTGGCACAGAGTATCTCCAGAGGCATAATAATGTGGCTAGAATTTTTCATCAGGCTCTGGCGGTGAAGTTCAACTTGTTAGTCAACTTGTTCAACTATGACAAAACTCCATATTATAAGTACCACCCAAATAAACTCCTCCACAAAGGTAGTCTCAAGCTATACTGGGATGAATCGATTATAACTGACCACAACTGTGCGTCACAATAAACCAGACATCCTTCTGATAGACATGAGAGAGAAAAGAGCAGAGCTTATTGATGTCGGGATCCCCAATGATAATAATATAAGCTCCACTGTTGGAGAAAAACTGAGAAAATACCAGGAACTGGCAATCGAACTGAAGGAATTATATCATTTGGGGAATGTCACCACCACTCCAATTATAATACCCTCCAATGGATTGATACCAAAGACAACAGTGGCAGGCACGATGGGATTAAAATTACCTCTTCAAGTGCTGAAAGAGGCTCAACACTCAGTTCTCTTGGATACGGCACGTATTGTTCGAAAGTTTTTAAATATCTAAAAAGTAATAGATATTAATCTGAAGATGGCTGGACTTCTGGTCTCCCACCTCAGAAACTTACCCCGCAAAGCGAGAATAAAGAATGGGAATAATAATAATAATACTTTATTTATTCTGGGACGAGACCCTTTAGAATAATACAGACGGACAGAAATGTGGGCTTAGGAGCCTCAGAGATATATAAAAAAAATGTTAATGAAATAGTCATATTTAAAAATTACTTTATAACTTAAATAAGTTAATAATAAAAAATTGAAAATAAAGTAAAAATAATGGAGAACGAGCTAATAAAGTGTATTGGTTTGACGGATGTGGGAAGGGATGGAGTTCCATAGGGATGAGGGTCGGATAATGAAAGATCTGTCGAAAGGAGCGGTTCGGTGGGCCCTTGTGTATAAATCAGAAGCCCTGGAACGAGTGTTGCGGGAACGAACAGAGGATTTGAATTGAAGGAGCTCGGAGATGTATGAAGGTCGGTGAGATTGGATGAGTTGAAAGAGGAAGGATGCTAGGAAATACTTGCGACGGTAGGAAGGATAAAGCCACTACAACTCTGCATAAAAACGGGAAACAGGGGCGTCACTTGGGATCCCGAAGATGAATCGTACAAAGCAATTTATCAAACGTTTTAGTTTCGCCTCGAGATCCCCAGAGAGGCCCCCATATACCGTACAGCAATAGTCAAAGTGGGGAAAAATAAAGGAAGTTACTAGGAGTCTACGGGTTTCAAGGCGAAATGGGTGACGGGAGTAATTTAGACGTATTAAAGTGGAAATGGTACGGCGGGAGATGTTGGATACATGATATTTACAGGAAACCGTTTGATCAAAATTCATTCCAAGATTTTTGATGGAGGGATAAAATTTGATGGGATTATCATGTAGGAACAGAGTTGGAATATTAGGAGCAGTTTTAAGGAGGTGATTTGAGCATATTAAGATTGCCTTCGTGTTTTCCGCATTCAAATTCAACTTGTTAGCTCTCGCCCAGTCACAAATCCTGTCCAAGTCTTCTTGAACTTTTTCTGTGGCTGATAATAGGTCGGTGGGCGGGAAGGACAGATATATTTGGAAATCATCTGCATAGATATGGTATTAGGAGTGATGGATCAGGAGGGCAAGATGATTAATATAACTAGCATATAGTGTGTTCTATAGTGTAAATATATAGTGTGTTCTAATGCAAATACTTTTTTTCTGTTTTTTTTTTTCACATGTAAGCTATGAAATTATAGATAAAGCCCTATGTTAATGCTCACCCCGGTGTTGACGATGCGAGAGGCAGATACGTTTTGCTGTGACGCTTCCAAAGAGCTAACCACCGTGGCTTGACTCTCGGCGGCGGAAGTGGTAGATACAATGCCTTCTAGATTGTTCTCTTCGTTCTCTTCCTGGTCTCCCATCACTGCCCACCCCTTACCATCTGGTGCTTACCGGAGTTTTGGCAATTTTTTTGCGATTTTTTAAAAACTTTTTTAGTAAAATATGTTATTATCACATGTTGTATTTAAGATCAAGATCGAATTTAGGTTTATTTAATGACAATAATCGAATAAAATAAGTCTAATGCGCTGTATATAAAAATAACAACGCCAAAATCAAATTTTTGAGGTGAACATTTCTTTGGGTGCGTTTTGGACTTTTTTTTTGGAAAGTGAATTAGAATGAGCCGTCAGATTACCGATGTGTAACACCCGGGTAAAGTCGACTGAAATCGACTAAGTGTTTTTGCATATGGATTAAATATCTCAGAAACTAAAAATCGGACCTGCATATTATACACGAGGGGACTATTCATCATTTCATTCTCCCTGTAATGGGTTATTATTCGAAATTGTATCTTAAAGCGACACCATATTAGAGAGGCGAAAAGGGAATTATAACGAGTTTTATTAAAGTTATGAATTAAAATAGCTCAGAAATTAAAAATCTGATCTGCATACTGTAAGCGAGGGAAATGTTCACCATTTCATTCTCTTTATAATTAGCTATTATTTATAATTTATATTTCATATTATTAATCTCTTCTTGTTGATGTTTTCACTCCTATCGTGTTGCGTAAATCGCGTACCTTAGTTTTTTTTTAAATTTGTTTATTAAAAATTACAACATTCTATCGCTTGGACATTGGCTATAGTGTGAGGTCAGATTACATTCGCACTATATGTTCAAAAAAAAACTAAGGTGTGTGCTTCAGACCAAGAATAGAATTATAGCCCATTACAGAGAGGATGAAATGCTGAATAATTTCCTCGTTTACAGTATGCAGGCCCGATTTTTAGTTTCTGATATATTTTAATCGATATGTAAAAATATTTCTATTATTCGACTCTACCCGGCGTTAAAACTTCGCAAATCAGACAGATCAATCTAATTCATTCTCCACAAAAAAAGTGCAAAATGCGCCTAAAGACGTTTTCACTTCTAAAATATAACAATACTCGGCGAAAGTGGATATTGTAACTATCGTCAGTTTTCCTGTATTCCAGGCGCATGCGAGCTACAAACTTAAGAACGTAAAAACCGTCCTGCGCATGCTCCTAACAGCTTGATCATAGACTAAACTCAAGTAGGGACAGACCATTAATGAACAACATATGTAACTCTAAATCATATGTTATTTTCCACTTTAACTTAAATATAAATTTTTTCTGGAAATAGTTTTGAAAAATAAAATTATATATAGTAAAAGCCATGGAAAGGATGCCGCTGGGTATTGCTTTTCCTCATGCCTATCAAGCCTTTTTATTTTTTTTTTTATTTATTTTTTATTTTTTCTCATGACTGTGCCAGCACATCTGCTGATTGTCAATAGTTATAATTGACAGGTGCGGATAAATATATGTAAGTGCAAAAAAAAAAAAAAATTACACATAATTAGGAGGAAACACGCGCTACTAACGATGATGTAATTAATTTCTTTTAGAATAATAATGGTTCGTTTTTCAATTGTTTTTTTCTCTAATCTTTCTTACCCAATCACATTTTGATTATTAAAGGTAAAAAAGATTATAAAATTCCATAAATATTAAGTATTAACTACAAATACTATGTATTATAAACAAATACAACTTTTTTCACAAGTGGGTGGAATTTTTTGCCTGTCAGTGTATATATTAAATACGTGTTTAATTTTGATATATAAGTGATTTTTTTTTCCTTTCAATTTAGAGTCTGATGAATTTTTTACCGGATGATTTGAAATGGAATGAAGTTTTAACATATTATTATTTCGTTTTTTTTATTTTATTTGCAAAAAAATATGTAGAATGCCACTTCTCAAACTGCATCTAAAAGAAATAAATTTTTTTTTTTTTTTTTAATCTTTTTATTGAGAAATAATACATTTTACCACATTTAAGCGCACTGAGTACTAAAGCTGAGTGAGACCCATTCATACTATATATACAATGCAAAAAAAAAATAATAATAATAAATAAAAATATATATCTATATAACAAAGGTAAAAACTATAAAACTAAAGAAATGTAACTTCAATATATAAAAAAAGAAAAACATTCATACTTTATTTACAATCAGCCAAGGGAGCTCCGAGTCCAGCCCTTTCCTCCACGTGTGAAGGACAGAGCGAGACTCTAAGAGATCCCAGCGCTTCTCTCTCAGCTGCGTCACCGGCAGGAGTCCAGTGGAAACTGAGAGAGGGCACTAAAGCAACAGACGCTCATGACGTGAGTGGAGAGGCTGGCCATTGCCAGAACTCCAGTGACAGTCTTTACAAAAGGTCTCGAGGCCACTGCCGTTTCAACCTTCGAGGAGGGTTGTAGGGGTGACTGGAGCTGGATAAGGATTGTGCTAAGGAGTTAGGATGGTGGATTAGGTTCAGATGAAAATTTGAGAATCGAGATGGAATAACGTCAAGGACATAAGGGATGTAAAGGTCATGATGTAGGGTTTTGTTTGTAACATAATAAGGAGCATTGACTATTATACGGAGGACTTTAGACTGAAAGGATTGGATGCGTTTGATGTTCGAAAATTTAGTTGTCCCCCACAGTTCAAGTCCGTAGGTCCAGATGGGTTTGAGTATGGTCTTGTATATTAATAGTTTGTTTTCTATTGAGAGATTGGATTTTCTGTTAAGTAGTCTGTATAGCTGGCCAAATCGTCGGTTAAGTTCTTGTCTTTTAAGTCTGGTATGTGGGTTCCAAGTTAGTCTTTTGTCTAAAAGGAATCCAAGATACCGAACTGTGTCTGAGACGGGGAGAGGTACAGAGTTGAAAAGGATATGTGGACAGGATCTGCGTCGGAGGGTAAAGGTGACATGCTTGCATTTGGATTCATTTATCTTAATGCGCCAATTGTTGCACCATTGCTCAATCAGGGAGATGTGTCTTTGTAGGTTTAAGGATGCTGTTTCAGGATCTGAGTGGGATGACAGGATGGCGGTATCGTCAGCGAAGGTTGCTAGAAGGGTATCGGGGTTGGTTGGAATGTCAGCGGTGAAGAGGATGAAGAGAACTGGGCCCAACACACTGCCTTGTGGAACACCAGCTTCAATTGGATAATAGTTGGAGAATTCAGTGCCGCAGCGGACTTGAAAGGAACGATTTGAGAGGTAGGATTTGAGGACTAGGTACAAGGATTGGGGTAAGTGAGTTTTGAGCTTGAAAAGCAAGCCATCATGCCACACCCGGTCGAAAGCTTGCGCTACGTCCAGAAAGGCACTGGTGCAATATTGCTTGTTTTCAAGCGCAGAGGATATATGATCAACAACGCGAAGGCCTTGTTGAACAGTGGAATGTCTTGAGCGGAATCCAAACTGATGGGATGGGATATTGTGGGTTTCGAGTATGGGTAGGATGCGTTTGAGAAGGATTTTTTCAAAGATTTTGGAGAGGATTGGGAGCAAGCTTATTGGTCTATAGGATGAGGTATTATTGACAGATTTACCTGGTTGTGGGAAGTGGATGATTATGGAGTGTTTCCATGTCAGAGGAAAGTGAGTTGTGCGGAGAATACAGTTGTATAGGTATGTGAGGAATATAATTGCTTTTTTGGGAAGTTGTCTAAGGATCTGGGAAGTAAGGAGATCGTGTTAAGGGGATTTTCGAGGTTTTAGGTTGCTTATAAGGAATTTGACCTCAGAGGGGTTGACAGCTATAGGAGGCAAGGAGAGAGGAATAGGAGAAGAGAGGAATTTTTTAACTTCAACAGTGCGGGGGGGATGGAGTTCGGGGTGGGGAGTAAATGTTTTGGATAGGTGTTTGGCAAATTCTTCAGCTCTAGTCTCATCTGACGAAGCCCAGGTTCCATCATCGCATCGGAGGGGATGGGAAACAGAATGGTATTTAAGTATTTTTCTGGTCAACTTCCAGAGGGAATTGTCATCGGTAGATAGGGAAGAGAGGTAGGAATTATATGATTGGGATCTAAAGGAAGATAGTTCTTTTCTTACCTGTTTGGTATAATAATTGTACAGTTTCCGATCATCAGGATGCCTGGTTCTTTGCCAGATGGTCCTAGATTGGCGTTTGGATTTAATGAGGTCGGTAAGGATTTGAGGCAGAGGAATCTTTTTAAGGTATTTTTTGGAGGGGATTGGTGAGGATGCAGTCCAGACTGCTTGTTGGATCAAGGTGGTAAAGGAACTCACTGCATTATCTAGGTCTTGAGGGGTTTTTAGGGATACTCTGAGGTCTATTGCATCTGTTATTGTTTGGCGGAAAAGGTTCCAGTTGACTGGGCCTCTGATGAATGAGGGAGGAGATAACCTGGGGATATGAGATACGGAAAGGGTTAGATTTAGCGGACTGTGATCTGAGGAAAGGTCATCGAGCCGTAAAACTGAGTAATTTAGCGGCCCGAGACCTTTGTGAATGAAGAAGTCGAGAGGATTACGGTTAGGATTGGTTGGCCAGTATGTAGGAGTATCAAGGAGAAGTTTGTTGGAATTGTGGGAATTAAGTGGAGACAGCAACGATCGCCCGCGAGAATTCGTGGTTCTGGCTCCCCATTGCTGATGTTTGGCGTTAAGGTCTGCACCTATAAGGAAGTGGTGTCCTAGGGAATTAAGAAAGGAAATGAAGTTAGGTTCACGTATTGCTATTTTAGGTGGAGAGTATGCTGAGACAACTGTAAGAGGAAAAAGTGAAGTTTGAATAGTTATTGCTGAGGTTTGTAGGAAATTGTGAACTGGTAAAGGATACAAGTGATGGGAGTGGGACTGATGGATAATAACAGCAGTGCCAGCATGTGCTGTTCCATCAGGGTGGTCAGTTCGATATATCTTGTAGCCAGGTATGTTGAACTGTCTACGGTTTTATTGAGGACAATTACTACGGTTTTATTGAGGACATTTAGGGAATTCTTGGCGAAGGGATAAGATTGGCTATGACATTTGTAAGTAAGGTAATGAGCGGTGTGATGAGAGATTTGATTTCGGAGAGGAATGATGTAAGGAGGCTGGTAAGATCATTGGAATTGTTAGGGGGAGGAATGTAGGATATTTGTTGAGGACTGAACTTTTGGGTGTTATTATGTTCGGTTTGTGAACCATGAGATAGTGGTTGAGTTTGCGGCAGGGCCTGAGGTTGAGTATGCTGTTCTAATTCCCCTAACAAAAAGAAATAAATAGGAAAAGTTCCTTAACTCAGCATTAATTTCATCGATAGAATCCATCAA